GTGCATGTGTGCCTGTGCCTGGAAGTTACGGCAACATCTGGCTACTCCTACTGGGGCATGGAGAGAAGTGGCTTGATAGCTGGCCTCTGCCTCCCGGCCCTGGTATTCCTCAGAGGTCCCCCATCCAAGTACTTGCCAGAGTCAACTCTCCATAAGGAGCTGCGGTGGCTCAAGTGGTTAAGATGCTGAACTGCAGGCTGTGGAAGTACCGGTAGTTCAGCAGTTCGAGACCCGAGTTGCTGCATGACGGAGTGAGTTCCCGTCTCTAGTTCCAGCTCTTGCCAACCTAGCAGTTCGAAAACAAGAAATTGCAAAGTACCACTTTGGTGGGAAGGTAACAGCGTTCCGTACACCTTCGTGTTTAGTCATGCTGGCCACATGACTACGGAAATGTCTTCGGACAGTGCTGGCTCTTCGGCTTTGAAACGGAGATGAGCACCGCAACCCTAGAGTCAGATTCAACTGGCTTTCGAGCAAGGGAACCTTTACTTTTACCTTTCACCCTATTGGGGACCCAAAGTGGCTTACATCATTCTCCTCAGCTCCATTTTATCCTGAATCAATCCTGTGAGGTAGGCTAGGCTGAGTGCGTGACTGGCCCAAGGTCACCCAGCAAGCTTTCATGGCAGAGCGGGGATTCAAACCTGGGTTCCCCAGATCCTAGTTGGACACTTTGACCACATACCACACTGGCTGAGCAGAAGTGTTCCAGCTGCTTGTGTGTGTTTTCAGCAGGTAGAAGTTTCAACCATTATCTTTTTTTTTTAATCTAATTTTTTATTAGTTATACACATCTATAGATACACACAACCAGACAAAACATAAAACAGAAACCTATGATAGACACCATTAAAACAGATCCATCCTCTGTATCTTCTTAAGCATAACTGGTTACGTTAATAAAACTTAAATATTCGTTTTGATCCATTTATAAACATTTGACCAGATTTTTTGAAAAACTGAATTCACATTTCCATGAATTTTTTTGTGTTAGATTATCAATTTCAATCACTTCAATCACTTTAGTAATAAAATCCCATCTGTCTGACATCTTTTCATTTTTCCAGTACTTAGCTAGTACTATTCTTGCTGCTGCCAATAAATGAAACACCACATATTTTTCACCCTTTTTCCAATTTTCAGGTAATATACCTAGCAGAAATATTTCTGGATCTAGTGGGACTTGTACCTTCATTGACTGTGTTTTCCAATTTTTTTTATCATTTTACATGACCACCACGCATGATAAAAAGGACCTACTTGTGCATTACACTTCCAACACAAATTGCTGATCCCCGGATAGAAATGGGCTAACCTATTGGGTGCCAGATGCCAATGGTGGTACACCTTAAAAACGTTTTCTTTTAATGGTACAGCCTTGAGCCATCTCAGATTCTGCCATATCCTCTCCCATTTATTTAAATCAATATTCTTCCCTATATTGCTGGTCCATGCATTCATCAACATCTTGTTACTCTCTTCTGTCATCCTGTAATCCAACAACAAAGAATATATCTTCCTTATAATTTTTCTCCGAGCCTAGTAATGTTTTATCTAGTTCTGACATATTGGTATTAACCCCTATTTGTTTATCCATTCTGTACCTAGAAGGGAGCGGTGGCGCAGGCAGTTAAACGCCTGTGGTAACAACACTGAACAGCCACTAAGGCTGTTCGAGACCCACCGCAGCCGGGGTGACCCCAACTCTCAGGTAGTATATTCAATAAAAATATTTCAGGGTCCAATGTTATTTGCAATTTTGTTGCCTGAGTGATCACCTGATGTACCTCTTTCCAGTATTTCTTTACCACGTCGCAGGACCACCAGGTATGAAAAAACAACCCGATTTGTGTTTTACATTTCCAACATTTATTGCTACTTCCGGGATTTGGCCACTCTGGCGGGGGTTAAATACCATCGATGACATATCTTAAACAGATTTTCCTTTAATGAGACCGCCTTTAACTGTCTCATATTTTTCCATATCCCATCCCATTTTCGCGGGTCAATTGTTTTCCCTATGTTGTTATTCCATTTTGTCAAGGGTGTTTTCTTATTTTTATCTTGTGCTCTATTTTCTAGTAAAAAAGAATATATTTTGCCTATTGTTTTTACTTCTGGACCCAATAAAATTTTATCTAATACTGTAAAGTTTTTGTTTATCCCCGTTTGAATATCTTTGTTGTATTTAGATGTTAATTGGTTTCTTTCCCACCATGTTAATTTGACCTGGTGAGATTGTAAGGTTTCTTGTGATTTTAATTCATTATTCTTATGCAGCAAAACATCATAAGTCAAGGCCCCAGTATCAGTCATCAAATTGGGCAAGGATATTGCTTTCAACGGGGCAACCCACCTTGGGAGTTTTTTATAAAATAAAAAATTTATCTCATTCCAGACTTTTATTAAGCTTGCCCTTATCCGATGCTATTTAAAATACAAATGAGATTCTAATTTAGCATAACCCAAAAAAGAATGCCACCCTATCCTTAGATTGTGACCCTCAATACTTAAAAATCCTATGATTTTTGAGAAGTATCCACTCTCTTAACCATGTCATTGCTGCTGCTTGATGATAAAGGCGCCAATTTGGTATTGCCAATCCACCTTTTTGAACTCTTTCTTGCAACTGTTGGCGCTTTCAGGGTAGGGCGGGATATAAATGTAAATATAAATAAATAAATAAAATTAAAAAATAAATTTATTCATGTTTTTTTCTTTTCCCAAATAAAATCCTCTACTAATTTGTCTCATTTTCTTATAAACTTATAGTTTTGAAGTATCGCTATATTCTGAAAAAGAAATAAAACCTTGGGAAGTATCGTCATCTTGACCGTCGCAGCCCTACCCACCCATCAGAGAAAGCTGTAACGTGGACCACTTATCCAGAACATTTTGGATCGAGATTAATAATTTTTCATAGTTTCCTTGTACTAGTGTACTTATTCTATTCTATATATTTATACCGAAATATTTTATTTTTTTCTCTACTCCAAAATTCGTAATTTTTTTTTGCAGATTTTGATCTATATTAGAGCCACAGTTTTTTGTTAGGATTTTTGTCTTCGCCCTATTTATTTTAAAACCCGCTAGTTGGTCAAATTCATGTAGAACCTTTAGCAGATGCGAAACAGAATTTAATGGGTCTAACCATGATCATTTTTGTTAGCACTTTATATGTCTTTTCTACCACTACTTCATTGTTTTAAAAGATTTGCTGGGATGAATGATGTGAAAATAATGGTACAGTGCTATGAAGCCATGCCCATGCTAATCTACCTAGGAATGATAAGAATCGGATCTAGCTGGCTGGGTTGCTGCTGGGTGTTAAACTGAAATAATATGTCAGAATACGCCTAAAGCCATCCATCTGGTATTACCCGTTCTACCTGATTTAGACACACACAAAGATTAGGTAATCCACTCAAGGTCTTGTCAAATCTTCCTTATGCAACCAGGGGTTGTGGTCACCAACTGGTCCTGACATGTTTATAAAAGGTTTGGCTCATGAGAATAGATTCTTCATACAGTCATCTTAATGGGCAATTTAAGTGTATGCATTCGTGGAACCTCTCGAAGTGATCTCATTTCATGAACCAAAAAACCACTTTCTCCAAGCCAGTATCCTACATCTGGACCATTTTTATGACAGGCTCTGCACTAGGACTGCCAGCTCTAGGTTGGGAAATAACTGGGGATTTTCAGAGTGGAGCCTGGGGAGGGTGGGGTTTGGGAAGGGGAGGGACCTCAGCAGGGTATAACGCTGTAGAGTCTGCCCTCCGAAGCAGCCATTTTCTCTAGAAGAAAAGTTGATTTTTATACCCTGCTTTTCTCTGCCCTAAGGAGTCTCAAAGTAGCTTACAATCACCTTTCCTTCCTTTCCCCACAACAGTCACCTTTTGAGATAGGTGGGGCTGAGAGAGTTCTGAGAGAGAACTGGGACTGGCCCAAGGTCACCCAGCAGGCTTCATGGGGAGGAGTGGGGAATCAAACCTGGCTCTCCAAATTAGATTCCTGGAGAAACAGGGTGGTGTAGTGGTTAAGAGCAGTGGCTCTCCAAATAAGAGTCAGCTGCTCTTAACCACTACACCACTCTCCAAGGAAACTGATCTTGGTCATCTGGAGATCAACTTTAATAGCAGGAGATTTCCAGGTACCACCTGGAAGTTGGAAACCTTACTCTGCGCAGATCACCCAGTATAATAGATTATCTTCACGCAGAATTCACCAAGCAGTCCTGTCCAGGGGTCATTTAGTAGAAAAAGAGGTGCAGGAGCTCATTAGCATAATTCATTAGCATAACTCGTTTGCATATGCCACACCCCCTGACATCACTGGAAGTGTGTCAGAAGGCAACACCCACCACTCAGGCTCCACTGGACTGTTTTGGATTGCTAGCTATTGGGGGGGGGCATGTGCAGGTCGATCTGTCCTCGCAGAGGAGGGAGAGCTTGTACCTGAATAAAACTTGGTCTTAAAGGTGCCACTGGACTGTTTTGGACCAGGGGGTGGGGGGGTGGCTCTGCAACTTACCTGGCTGCTGGGAGCAGGGGGTGGGGCTTGTTGCATGTGCCCGCCCCTGGGCTCTTTACTGCCGGAGCTCTGCTCCTGTGCGTTTCTGCAGGAAATGACCCCTGGCCCTGTCCCACCAGCTAGCCCCCCCTTTCCAAATTCAAGACCTATTGAAGTTATTCCATTTTGTGATATATATGAAGCTCTTTTAAAGCACAGTCTGATTCTATATGTTATCAGACTATAGAGCCTCCTTGTGAGTTTCTCAGGTGGAACCATGCTATGGATGTCCTCTGTGTCTGAAATGGGATTAGCACCCACAAGGAGTAGGGAGCCTCCCTGACTCTTGGTGTGTCGCCGGCTATGAAGCCTTCAGGCTTTCCCTATTTACCTTTGAGAAGGAAGTGTTCCTGTTCTGTCAATCCACAGAGATGTCTTCCTTTTTTTCTCCATGGTGTTCTCTGTGAATTTTAATAAATAATATTTGATGGAGTTGCTTGGTTTTTATTGTTTTAGTTTAGATATATTGTGGTCTTTATTGATATACAATGCTTTGTGGACTCACTGAGACAAAGACAAGAGTATATTATAAATAAAACTCCCTCACAATTAATTATTGTCTGTTCACCTAATTGCAAATAGATATGAACAATTTCCCCCCAGCTGGTTTTCAGTATATTTTTGGCAGACAACCCATGCTAAGTCAGGATTAATAAACTCTCCAGAGCTGCACTCACTTTTTAAAATGTTTGCTGTTGAATTTATTTGAAAACATTAATACAGCATTGTGACTAGCTGGCATCATACCCTTCCTTTAGACTAAATATCTGTATTTTTAAATATATAGCTGTGCAGCATTTCAACACACTTCTTTGTTAATATATTGCTACATTTAAACTCCAGGCACCAGGAACAATAATAACTTAATGATATTTTTATTGATTTATATGGTCTTTAAAGAAAGCAGAACCAAAAGAACAATGCTAAATTATTTGCATTCTTATTAAATTAAATTAAAATACATCCAGTTTGTGGGAATGTATAAATGCACAAAAATAATAATGAACATAGATTCCCAAAAAAGGTGTTTAAATACAGAAAATTCTGTTTATTAGATAATGGGACTTCTGTAGGTTTTCCTGTACAGAAGAATTTCTTTTCTTCAAACCAATGAGGTCACACCTGTCTTTTGATCTCAGCAGTATGTGTGGCAACTACGTGCCCATCCACACTGTCTCGCACAATTTTCTTTAGCTTTTGGCTGGTTGATCCTTCATGTTCTGTAAGAAATTTGGAGATAAATCATTATGTGGGAAGCAGTGTATGATACTCTTTAGACTGATCTCACTTCCAAGGGTATTAGAAATCTTAGGGTTCTTTTATATGACCTAGAAAGCTGAAATTTATCCCACACATTCCTAAACCACCTTCATTGTTAGAAAAATCTGAAAAGCTGACATGTTACAGTCAAAATTCAGGAAACATTTGACTGATAAAGGAGATAAGCTCTAGCAGACAGAAGGAGATCAGTGTGAGCTAGCTCACAATCAAGTCAACACATGGTAAAAAATGCTGATTTGTAGAAGTTATGGATGGGGAGCCCTATCCAAAGTAATTTCATGTTATGTTAATCAAAACATACTTTTCTATATATATTTTAGGGTTCTTGATGCAGTCTTGGTCATGCTAATGGATGACCATTGTCAGAGGAGAAACAGGGAGAGTATAACCCTCTTGGTTTAACTGGATCTTTCAGCAGCATTCATGCTGTCTTTCTGGACTGGATGTCCAAGATGGCATTCAGATTCATGGGGCTCTTGTAGCTCTGTTACTGTGTGGCTGGATGGTTTCAGAAAGTGGTGCTGAGTAACAGCTGTTTGTGCTGTGGAGTCCTGCAGGATTCCATCCTGTTTAATATTTACATGATTCTGTGAGAGAGGCCATCTGGGGATCTGGAGTGAGATACCATTGGTATGAGGACAACATGTGACTATATTTCTTCTTGTTAACCAAGTTAGGTGAGTCAATGGTTGTTCTGAATGTGTGTCCGGAGGCAGTAATAGGCTGGATAAGGATTGCTACAGTACATGTGGGGCTGTCTTTGAAGACCTTTTGGAAACTTCAAGTGGCACAGAAAGGCTAATTGGAGTGGGCTGCACAGATCACAACCCGCCTGTTCCTAACTAATTATGGTGGTTGCCAGTCTGCTTCTGGGCACGATGCAAATTGCTGTTTCTTACCTTGAAAGCCCTAAATGGCCTGGGGCCAGGACACTTCACAGACTTGCCTACACCCACATAAACCTATGGGATGGCCAAAGCACAAATACAGCATTTAAAACCTATGTAATTGGTGTGCCTTACCAACAGATTCAGATTTAGTGAAGGCAGTAGGGGGTCCCTAAGACAGGGATTCTAGAGACTGGGTGCTACTGCCCTTTGTTGATCTTCTCACAACAAACGTTGTGTTCACCCAATCACAAAGAACATTTGAATCTTAGTTCAAAGAGATGGGTTGTTAATGGGTAACTCTCACTCTCATAAAAGTAGCTTCTGTGAAGTGGAATGCACGTTTACCTTGCTCATACTTGGGGTCAGGTGATGCTCAGTTCCTTAGAGGGGGAGCTTGCTGCCGGTCTGCTTCAGCTTTTCACAGATATTACTTGTACACTGCTGTGACCATAATCAGACACAGACACTGCAAGCTTTTCTACAAAAATCAGGACAAGAAGCGCTTACCTTTACCACTTGACTCCGAGCCTGTCATCCTGTAAAGTGATAACAGAAAAGTGAAATAAATCAATATGCAGTACAATTTGTGTTTAATAAGTTTCTTAAAGTGAAACTGAATGATTGGTTTAAGTATGCAACTGTGAACAAATTGATGCTCGAAACTCTTGTGAAGTTATAAATATACATATTGTTTCATTTTTAGTGTATGTCATATTTATATGTAGAATACAGACCCAACTGGGTAAGAAAATAACAGTACAAACAGTTGGTGACCTCTCTTTTAAGATGATTTCTGCTTCTAGGGAGTGGTTATGGTAAACAGTATAATTCAAGGTGCAAAGAGAATGATTCATAAAAAAGTTTACAGAACTTTAATTTTGGATGCATCTAGATTGCATCTTCTCATACTTCTGTTTTGCCACCTGTGACAGAAATTGTGCACGTAGGCATGCTTTTAAAAAGCACATGATTTTTTGTGTTTTTTTTAGCTTTGGGCGTGTGTACTGTACAGCCCAGGCTAGTTTGAAATTTACTTCTGCCTGCAGTATAGATCAGTGAGGGAGCAACATGGAGTGAAATCCCTGTCCTCTGTGAACCTTGAAGGAATTGGTGGGTATGCATCTTTCCTGCCCCCTCATTTAAAAAAACATCCCATTAAAAACTATCAGCCATGTTCAGTGTGATGATCCATAAGTTGATGGGTACTGGTATTGATAGAGATAAATGTAAAATATATCTGAAGAAATTGTATGTGTGTTTTTATTGTGTCTTCTACTGTGTAAGTGTAAGTCTGCAGAGTTACTCTAGTCTAAGCTAACTGAAATGAATGCGCTTAGACTGGTCTAAGGATTGCACTGTGAATGTCTTGCACAATGCATAGGGCAGGAGTCCCCAACCCATTTGAGTTTGTGGCAGTGTTCCCTCTAAGCTGAGTCAGTGTGAGCTAGCTCACAATTTTTTAGCCTCCAGCTCACACATTTCTGTCTTAGCTCAGGAAGGAGGGCTCCAAAGCAAACTAATTTATGCAGTGGCCAAACTGCTCACTCATAACTTTAATGCCAGTAGCTCACAAAGTAGAATTTTTGCTCACAAGACTTCACAGCTTAGAGGGAGCATTGGTCTGTGGGCAGGGGTCCTTTGGGGCCAGAGTGCGCCGGAGTGCTGCTCCGGGAGCCCAGGAGCTGGCAAAATGGCGGTGGCAGCAAGCCCTGCCCCCAGCTCCCCACGCTGTGGCCCATTACTGCCCTCCTGGGGCCCACGCCAGAGTGCTGTGGCCCCAAGGAGGCCCATCGCCACCTTCCTGGGGCCTGCGCCGGAGTGCTGCGGCCCCAGGGAGGCCCGTTGCTGCATTCCCAGGGCCCGTGCCAGAGCGCTGCGGCCCCAGGGAGGCTGGAGGATGCCCATCGCTGCCTCCCTGGGCCAGTGCCGGAGTGCTGCAGCCCAGGGGAGACCAGAAGACGCTCCCCGCCGCCTTCCCGGGCCAGCGCCAGAGCTCTACGACCCCGGGGAGGCTGGAGGAGGACTGTTGCCGCCTCCCCAGGCCAGCGCTGGAGCAGGGTAAGTGAGGGATCCGCAGGGGGTAGCGGAGGCTTGATTGGGGGAGTGGGGTGGGTGGGAGAGCCTCCCCCTCCCCCCATCTCTTTGCCCTCTTTCTTTCCCTCCTTTACTTCCCATTCCTTTTCTTTCCCTTCTCTTCCTCCCTTCCTCTCTTTTCCTTCTTCTTTCCTTCTCTTTCTTTCCCTCCTACTTCCCTTCTCACTCTTTCTTTCTTTCCCTCCTTTCATTCTCTCCTCTTCTTCTTTCCCTTCTTCTTCCCTTGTCTCTTTCTTTCCCTCCTTCTTTCCTTCTCTTTCTTTTCCTCTTTCCTTCTCTTTCTTTCACTCTTTTCTTCCTTCGTTCCTTCTCTCCTACCCTCTCTCTCTCTCTTTCCTTCCCTCTTTCCTCCTTCTGCGGCCCAACTCTAGTGAGAAGGGGTTTAAAGTCTTTCTTCGCTTCCCCCCCTAGGGAAGGGAAGGGGAGGCTTTTGAAGATGCCTTCCCCCCCTTTTGCTTTCCCTTCTGACATCTCTTCCGGTGATGTCAGGTGGTGTTGCATATGCTAATGAGCTATTATGCTAATAGCCTAACACCTCATTAGCATACCGTATGCTAATGAGCTCATGGAGCTCTTTTTCTACGAAATGACCCCTGTCTGTGGGCACATTTGGAATTCTGACACAGTGTGGTCAGTGCAGTCACAAAATAGCTGCTATAAAATGGCTGCCCCAGGAGGTGGAGCCAGCCACACTATAAAATGGCTGTCTCAGCTGCCCTGCAGTCACACAGTGAAGATCCTTGTCTTGTGCTGGCAGCTGCTGCCAAAGCTATTTTTTAAAAAAAGTCTGCAAAGCCAATCAAATCTCCAGTGGCCAATTGGAAACCTTGCTGGGCAAAAGCCTCACCTGGCCCCACCCACTTTCTAAAAACACTTGATGGGCACCACGAAAGGTGTCTGAGGGTGTCATGGTACTCATGGGCACCATGTTGAGGACCCCTGGCATAGGGGTTCTGTGGAACCAAAAAGTCACCCTTTGGTAAGTGCCTGCCTGAGGCTTGTTTTCAGACATTTCTTCACTAACCTCAGCTGTGTCTGCCATGCACTGTCTATGCATGAAAAATACCCTCATCATTCCCACCTAGGCTGTGGGCATTGATTCCTCTTCCATTTTCCTGCCTGCAGGTAATTTTGCCTTACCCATCGATCCTTCCCTCCAGCAGCTGGCGATAAGTGGAAATCTCTTTCTCCAGGCGAGTTTTAATTCCCAGGAGGACTTTGTACTGGTTATTTTGACGCTTGATATCATGGCGAAGCTCACGGAGCTCTTCTTCACATTTGGAGATTAGGTGTTGGATGCTTTGGAGTTGGAAGGAGTAGCGAGATCTGGTTTCGTGTAAGCTGTTCTCCAGGGCGTATTTCTAAAAGAATAAAATATGTTATTTTTTCAAAATGGGCATCGCGGCTGTATAGAAGCCCAGTAAGATTCTTGGGCAAAATTACAGCCTCTGTTGGCCAGTACGACTGACATCTCTTATAGCTATAGCATTTGTTCACAATATTTATATCCTTCTTTTTTAAAAAAACTGAGTGGTGTGTAGAATCATACCAAAGTGACTTGTCAAATTGGAATTGTTTTATTGATTTATTTCTTATTGCGCTTGCCTCATCTTCTATTCCCTCCATCTGTTTTCTCATCTAAATTTGGAATTTAAGCTCCTCAGAACAGGGTTCTGAATTATGCTTATGTCACGTGAAGTGCCATTTGTGTGTGTGGTCCTATAGAAATAAAAATAATAAGAGCTATGATCACAGTTGTTGCAAAGTTGTGGCTATTACCCACAAGGTATAGATAGGGACAAGTGATGCTCTGTCTTCTTGGTCCTTGGGGGGGTCAACACTGGGAGGGCTTCTAATGTCCTGGCCCCACTGGTGGACCTCCTGATGGCACTGGTATTTCTGGCCACTGTGTGACACAGAGTGTTGGACTGGATGGGCCTTTGGCCTGATCCCACATTGGCGTCTCTTATGTTCTTAAGTTCATTTGCAAACATTTTCAGCAAGAAAGGGGACTTTTTTAGGGGAGGGTCTATTAAAACTCTTCTAAACGCCCGTCTGTTTTGCACTAGTGTTCATAGCAGCACTTGGGTGCTACTTTAGAGCAGTTTCCTTTTTTTATAATCTGCCTGCTCTTCCTGGAAATGATTTTATCAGGTAGCCAATTAGAGTTGGCTCTGCAATGGTACCACTGTGGACACTTGAAGCTGATGAGCTCTGCTGTAATGTCCTTTGTCCTGGCTTCATGGGTCCCTTGAGTGCTATCATCATTGATTTGAATTATATCACTCCTCCCAGGAAGAGAAGATAGGTTTTTAAAAAACAAAATGGTGCCAATGTAGTGCTATCACCTGAGGCTCCTGAAGTCAGAAGGCACTGGGAAAGGCAGCAGGGGGGTAGTAGGGGTTCATGTCTGCCTAACTGAAGATGTGTCTCGGCAGATCTCCAAAGCTAAGCAGGGTTGGCTCTCATTAGTACTTGGATGATGGACCACCAAGGAAGTCCAGGGTTGTGACACATAGGTCGGCAATGGCAAACCACCTCTGTTCATCGATTGCTTTGAAAATCCTAAGGGATTGCCATAAGTCAGCTGTGACTTGACAGAACTTTTCACTACCATATATGGCTGCAAATGGTTTTGCCCCCTTTGGAGTTCCCTACAAATTGTCGAAAAAAGGGCAGGTGCAATTTATATTGTGTGACTTTTCATGAAGCATTTGTCACCATTTCAGCACAGCCTTAATGGAAATATTATTTTAACTTACTTAAAAACCCAATTTGGATTGGGACTGCAATGAGGCAGGGACTTCAGCCTCCTTCATGCACTATTTTCCAACCCTAAATAGCCCCACAGGGAGAACTGCAGGTACAGTGTTTACTGTGAGTTTTTGTTATTTGCCTGTGCAGTATTTAGTATGCGTGAACCCACCCCTATGGGGCAAATGACCCCAGGACATTTCAGGTCAGGAAAATCGTGCAGAGGCTGAGCCCCCCCCCTTCCCGCACTATTAGGCAGTCCAGGTCTCCAGCTTTAGTGGGAGACCTCCCACTCTCCAACTGCTCTGCCTGCTGCTGGGTGGTGGGGCACTGGAGGAAAAATGGCCTGGAAAATTGTTGTTGCACCAATAGTGCAACATCACCTACAGCAAATATTCAGAAGTGACATCACTATGCAGGTGCAACACTCTAGGATTCACCTGAAGTTCTATGGTTTTATCATAGAGTTTTGGGCAAATCCTAGAGCATCATGTTGGCGCAGTGACGTCACTTCTAGGTATTCACTGGAAGCAGCCTTAAGCACCATGGGCCTGACCCTAATTGGGTGTTGCAGTGTTTGTCATCTGATGAAACCCTGACCCGACCCATGTCCAAATATGTCATGTCGTTGGGACTTAACTGTCTCTCCATGTTCAACGGAACTATACCTCTAATGGCTTATCTGTACATTACAGACATGAGTCATGGCAGGGATTCCCCAATATGACTCACAACTACATGTGCATGGGGGACTCATCTTTACAAAGCACTCCACTGTTCTGTGTGGCTCTGTGTGGCTCTGAACACTAGCCAGTCGAAGGGGGGGTGTTTCAAGGTTCCCCTAAATGCTATTTTTGCAAGTGGAAACAGCTATGTGGGGTGCTATTTGCCCCTTCTTGGGCTTTACATGTCCTGTGATCATGTGCTCAAGAACACATGGAACCCAAGGAAGAGACAAACACTTTGTGGCTGTTTCCACTTGCAAACCCCCCCCCCTGAAACCCTGCCCACCCCTGCCCAGTGCTCAGAGCCTCACAGAGTGGCAGAGCTGTTTTGTTTTATTTTGTTTTTAATTTATTTTTATTACACAAACAATTAAACATAAAAAGATACATAATTAAAGATCCTACTTAACAAGCTGACATAACTTTTGCATAATTGGTTTTCAAAGCAACTCAGTCTGTTATACATCTTTCCCATTTCTTAAGACCGTTAGCTTAATCAATTGATAAGTCTCTAAACTTTTCTTGTGCCCATTCTTGGACTGTAGGAGCAGTAGCCTGTTTCTAGTGCCTCGCAAATACAATTCTAGCAGTGGTAATAAAGTTCAAAACAAGAGAGCACAGATTATTGGGAACTTTTGGTACATAGTTAGGCAAAGAAGCTTCAATTGTTAAAGGAAGATTAGATCCCAAACCAGCTTTCATTATGTCAAAACATGATTGCCAACAGTTTTTAACCTATATATAAGTCCACCACATATGGTGGAAGTCAGCTATAGATGAGTTACAGTACCAGCACTTATGAGGTAGGTTAATGTAAAGGTTTCCCTTGCTCGAAAGCCAGTCGAATCCGACTCTAGGGTTTGCGGTGCTAATCTCTGTTTCCAAGCCGAAGAGCCAGCGCTGTCCAAAGACATTTCCGTGGTCATGTGGCCAGCATGACTAAACACCAAGGCGCATGGAACACTGTTACCTTCCCACCAAAGCGGTACCTATTTATCTAGATTCCCATAAATATTTGCTAATTTATACGGAGAGAGGTACCTTTGATGTAACATTTCCATGTTTTTTTCTTAAATTGTGACACTTTAAACTTGAAACTACTTTAATTTACATCTCCACATTTCACAGGGAATAATACCTCCTAGATCCTTTCCCCATTCTGTCCCCCCTCCCCCAGTGGTAGAGCTTTTTGTAATGGTGAATCCCCATACCTGTAGTTGTGAGTCACACAATTTGTGTCCATTGTAATGTAGAACTAAGCCATTAATACCAGATATTGAAAACAAAATAAGGGGCTGTTGTCACCATGTTCTATTTCTGAATTTCTACAGGCATTTATTTGGCTGCTGTTGGAAACCAAACGTTGAATGACAGAGACCCTGGTCTGACCTATCAAGCTGGTCTTAATTTGTATAAAACCACGGGCTTTTACAAGCAAAGGGGAAAAAATGAGACTAACACGGGGGCATGCTGTATATGAATGGCCCCACTGAGCACATCAATTTGAATCCTGCAAGGCAGGGAATGGTGGGACTTAAATGGACAAAAGTCATGTTCTTGTCCAAATTCTGCTATCATTTACAGCACCAGTGGAGCCAGCTTTGGGTACACAGGTAAATGGAATGTGGAGCAATGTATTAGGGGCACAAAAAGTGTCCTGCCTTAGATCTTGGGTTCACCTTAGATCTTGGTAGTTACCGTGTTTATTTGGGTCTGTAGATCAATTTCCAGGGTTTGCAGCGTGCGGTTCAGTTCAGTGATTTCCTTCCGAGCATTTTGTAGTTCTTCTTGGTTGGGGCTTGCTTCGGTTGACTCATTTGCAAACTGTAGAGAAGAAGCAGATTAAATACTTTTTGTTAACTTGCTGTCATGATCCTGCTTACCTGAGAGGATTTTAGTACCCCATTTTACCTAGGGTTTAACAGGTTTGGCATAAGAATTTTTGATCTAGAGTGTAGGCTTAAGTACAGAGTTGCCACCATACTTAAAAAATGAGTGTTTCTTTCCCACAGTGGGGAAATTGTTAACGAATGGGAGAGATTGTGAAGCTGAGAATATAAGATCTTCTACCCCATGCTTTATGGCAGACTTCAGACATATTGACATATTCATGAGAGGGAAGTCAGGAAGCAGTTTTTCTCCAGGCCAGTTTGGCTGGAAATCCTGGAGGGTTTTCTGGGCATGGTCACAGGGGGTGTGGGGGTGGTATTTGTGAATTCTCCATATTGTGCAGGGTGTTGGACTAGATGACCCTGGGGGTCCCTTCCAACTCTATGATTCTATGATGATTTATTGCTATGCATCATCATCATCATCATCATCATCATCATCATCATTAACAACAACAACAACAATAATGATAATGAATCGTCCCATTGCTCTGGGCAATATATACCAATAATAAAGCAATAGATAAAACCATACAAGAATCCAATATACAGTTAAGCATATAATTAAAAACCTAAAATCCATGATGGTGTCCTAATAAATCTTATTTCCATACTGGATTGCGCCACTTTCCAGCATCATAGTATCCATCCTCTTCAGTCCGTTGACATTACTCAAACATCCAGGTATATGGTATGTGTGTGTGTGTGTGTGTGTGTGTGTGTGTTACAATTGCACTTTGTTCCATGTACAGAGCACTTAGCCACCACAATTATTTTACTTTACCGGTGAAACAAAGACAGAAAAAGAGTAATTTAGGCAAGGAAGCAAAAAGAGAACATTGTTCTAACTCAGGGCTTACCAATGTGCCCTCCAACATATTTCTCGCACCTGCCAAGTGTTTTTAGGGAGTCAGTGGGGCCAGGTAGGGCTTTTGCCCAGCAAGGCTTCTGAGAGACTACTTGAGATTTAATTGGCTGTGCAGATTTTTTTTACATATTGGTTTGGCAGCAGCTGCCACCACAGCTCAAGGATCTGCACTGTGTGACTGAAGTTAAGCTGTGGCAATCATTTTGTGGCAGGCTCCACCTCTTGTGGCAGCCGTTTTGTGGCAGCCACTTTGTTGCTGTGCCCACCATGCTTTGTCAGAACACCAAGTGTGTCTGCAGGCTCAATAAGGTTGGGGACCCCTGTTCTAACTTGTAGACTCTCACTAGCTAAGCCTTCCAGCCTTCAGAAATCAGCATGCATATACTCGCATCTCAGAATCAAAATGCTGGACGGTCTTCCCTGGATGGGTGATATCACACAAACACACACAGGAAAAACCTGCTTTTCAAAGGGACACCTTGTGGGAGGAAGTTTCCTTTGGGCTACTGGGCTGATCAAGCACACAGGGTGAGCCATGGAGAGTGTCATATTCTAATTTGGGCCCAGCCAATGGAGAACTTAGCTTTAAACTGGCCCTGCCAAGTCAGGGTAATAATTATTACCAAGTGCAGAAGGGTCAGGAGAGAACACTGCCACCCATGAGGAAGTGTTATTTCTTCACTATTGGCACAACTGAGAATTTTTATTCCTCTCTGAGGAAGCTGATTGTGATGGCAGGGTCAGTGTGTGTCCATGACAGCTCCTTGGGGCACTGGAATGGGATTAAGTTAGCAAACTCTTGTGGTAACCTGGGGCCAGGCTGTAAACCATAGATAGCAAACGTCATAACCCTAGCCAAAAATGATTTCTTCAGATTATAGACTATGCTCTACAAAGGTGCTTGTTGCCTTTCTCTGTTTACCTGCCGTTGGAACCAGACTTCAAGGCTTTTGCTGTTTTTTTCAATTATAGCTTCATAATCCTGTCTTATCCCTGCCAGAATCTTGGCCAGATCTTCTGGTGGCTCGGTTTTCACCTTCACATCCACCTTTGGTTCATCGGAAGAGGAATGCACTGCCATATCCTGTGCACAGACAAATGTGAGGAAGCAAATCAACACTGGCCAATACAAGGAGCAAGAGAATCCCATCACACTGTAACATTCGGATCTGCCACCTCTCCCCTTGGAGTGGAAGACCAATTACTTTAAGGCAGACATACTTCCCTCTTTCTGCTAGTTAATCTGGCTTCTGAACTTGGCCTTTTGTTCTGTGCAGTTTCACCTTCAGTGAGATTTTTCTAAATAATGTCATTTCCTAGCTAAGGAATGGTATCAAACAAAACTGTTGCTAAGCATGAGTTGCAAGGCAGCTCAAATGTAGTCTTGCAAATATACCTGAGTTCATTTGCTGGAAATAAGCATTCAATGAGATTCGTCCCCCACAATTCACCTTTCAGACAAAATAACTTCTGCAGTGATCCCTTCAGTTTATTGAAATGAATGTGTTCAAGCTGCTGATTCATTGCACCCCTCACCTTATTGCTGGGAACTGAAGCCTGCCTGGAATGTTCACACACATGTTGAAGGTAATTGGAGGGATATAAAGAAAAGGTATTACATTTGTCAGACACCTTTGAGGTCCTGGGAGCATCCCTCACAATCTACTGAGAGAGGCTGTAGTAGATATTCTCATGGCCACTGATTGGATGTGCTGCTACAGCATTTCCCGTTCCCCATGATTTTTACATGGTTCAGTCCTATACATGTTTATTTACGAATCTAGGCTAAACACATTAAGGTCCTATTAAGCAAAAGGGTGAGTAGTATCAAAAGGATATTTCCTTTCAAAATTTGGTGTGGTGGGAATGTCCTCTCCCAAATGTTACCTATGCTGCCTCTTCCTCTTAAGTGCTCTGGGCCTTGCTGACAACATAGGAAGAGGAGTACTGGCTAGGCTTGGATCCAGACTAATGCTTCCATCGGTGCAGATTTATTTATTTAGTTATCTTATATCCCACTCCTTTCCCCACCAAGTAGGGCTCAGGGCAGCTTTTGACTCAGCCTTTGACCTAGGCAAACAAAGATTATGGGACAAACTGAATAAATCAACTATTGATAAGCATCTCCTTTTTCTGATCCAACAACTATATGATCAGCCTACTGCCCAGGTGAGATGTGGTCCATCTGGTGAACTGACCAGGGCTATTCCATTGAATAAAGGAGTCAAGCAAGTATGTATCCTAGCTCCATTGCTATTTAACTTATATCTCAATAATTTAAGTTCTCATATTTCTGAAGATGAATTTTACTCACCTTGCCTGGCTCATTTTAAATTTCTCTGTCTCTTATATGTGGACGATACTGTTCTTCTGTCAAGATCTGAGGTCGCCCTACGTAAGCTTATAGGTTCCTTTTTGGAGTATTGTTCCAGTGAGGACTTAGCTATTAATATTATTAAGTCAAAGGTTCTTCTTTTCAGTAAAAATCAACAACAAAACAACTAAGGATAAAGTACAAGTGTTCAATAGTAGGTCAACCCATGGAGCAAGCAGAACATTTAAATTATCTAGCAGTTGTTTTTCGAGCAAGCCTTTCTTGGAAGGTGCACCTGAACTCTGCTGTAAGAGTTGCTGTGAATACTGGGAAGGCCATCTTGAGATTTTATTACTCCTCTGGTGGCCAATATGTTCTTTTGGCAAAGTAATGCTAAAGTCACCAGGCAGATGCTATATCTGCCGGGGTCTGGATCAGAGCAGTAACAGACAACATTGATAGACCACTATTAAGATTCCTATATAATATTTTGGGAATCCCTCAATGTGTGTCAGGAGAACTGAAGTTGGGGAGATGTCTTTTGAAGCAAAGGCCTGGATCAGAGCATTCAGTCTGAAAATTAGGACCCTAAAATTAAATCCAGAATCCAGACTCCTTAGACAAATCATGTTGGATGATCACACAAATGACTGGGAGAGATTACTGTCTGGATCACAAATTATCACGTTTGGGCAGAAGACATTAGAGGGACATTAGAGGGACTTTGATCACGTAGAAGACAAATTAGAGGGACTTTGATTATGAGAGTACATTGATTAGAGTTCGCAGAGTATGTTCATCTTTCTCAGTAGGCATTCTCTCACCAACAAAAATGCCAAACTATCTATCCGAGCTAACTCTTCAAAAGTATAGAAGGGCATTCAGCAGTAGGGTTACCAGGTACCTTCCTCCTGCTGATGGGGGGATTTGGGGGGTGTTCAAGGGGTGGGCAGGGGATGACATCCAGAGGTCATATCATTGCATCAGCGCCACTGAGGCAACGCTGTACTTTTTGGGCAAAACTCTATGGTAAAAACAGCTACAAGCCATAGAATTTTGCCCCAAAAATAGAGCGCTGCCCCTGATATCGCCAACACGATGATGTCACTTCCAGAAGTGACATCAGTGTGTCACTGACATTGTGTCTGTTTGGGGGATCAGGGATTCCCCCACTCTCACCTGGGGTCTGGCAAGCTTATTCAGCAGTGATGTGTGGAAGAGTCAATGGAGTTCCATATTCAGACAGACTTTGCATCTGTGGCAATAACAGCATTGATTCTGTGGATGATTTTTTTTTTTACTGCCCCAAATTTTCAGATATAAGAGCTGAATTGGTCTCTCCATGGTTTTTTTTCTGGAAAAAGAGATGCTGGAATGCTCAAGAGGGAAATGAAGGAGAAACACATGGGATTCATAAATCTATGCTAAAAAAAAAGATATTAAACTCATATACCTGAGCTGAATGACTGTGGAGAAACCCCTGTTAGTGACAAATCAAGGGTAGCTCACATGCCCAAGAACCTCAGATACAAGCCAGGCTGGGGAGGGGGGGTTAAACAAGCACTTCCACCTACCTGCCGACCCCCACCTCATTGCCAAATCTCTGGATCTGGGACAGATTCTTGCCCCCAGAGCCTTAGAGACAGAGGAAGGTTGGAGCACTCCCTCGATGCCTCCCTTGCTTGCTCACAGGAAACCAGCCTTCTCTCGGCAGCTGCTGTCACAGGCTGGTGGAGAGGCACCGAGTGTGATGGTGACCCAGCCGGAATCATCCGGGACTGCCGCTTAACAGTGCCAAGAAACAAAAGGATTTCTCTCCCGTCAGCTTCCTGACTGTATGAGACCTCATGTCAGTGAGGTCATCCATAAAGCCCACTTTCCCTTTCTCCCCCCTCCCTTCTTTGTGCTCTGTTCCCCAACTCCATACACTTCACTGGAAGTAAGTTGGGTATTTTAGGACTCTGGGAGGTCTGGGTACATCACAACCACCCCTTTCCTCATGCAGAGGCAGGCTCTTAAAGGAACAAGAACATTTTCCCCACAATCAGAATCCTTGGGCAATACCACAACCCTCTATTTCCTGTCCCCAGGTTTGCGTGGTACTTAACAAACCACTCCAAATTCTTATATTTCACTCCTGCTAAAGCCCAGACTCTTTCTGTGCAGGTGGGTAGTTTTCCTATCTCAAGAAGCTACCTTTAAAATGAGAGGCTTATTCTGACCTGTACTTAACCCATGAAAAGGTCCCGGAATGCCGTTCCAGTGCGTTTCGCCAGAAAAAAAGCCCTGGGTCTCTCCATTATTTAACTAGGACGTTGTCTTTTCAGAAGCTAAATCATCTTGGTTACTCAGAGAGATAAGCAAACTACTTTTGTGTGGTGAAATTTCTGGCAGCTGTTATTAAGTTACATGATAACTTTTGTACTAACTTTTCGGCTCTCCTTTTCGGGGTGAGGGTTTGCTGTTTATGACTCTGGTTGTGAAAACAGTAATTGCTAGAGCATTATATTTCTGTGGGTGTAAGGGCTTCTGCCTGCGGAGCACAATTTTCTTACCTCTTCCTTCGCACAGCAGCCCCAAATACCCCCCTATATCCTTTTCCCAGAGACCATCTCTGTTCCCAGGACAGGTTTTGTGGGGAGGGCAATCTGTCTCAGGAAGGCAGAGACAGGAAAATTGTACTCCAAGGGCATAAGTCTGTGCATCTGGATACAACCCATAACCTACAGTTAGACAGCAAAAGTTTGGAAGAGAGGTTAACGCAGAGGTCCCCAATGTGGTGCCCATGGGAGCTGTGGTACCCCCCAACACCTTTTCTGGCACCTCCAAAGTGTTTTTAAGGAAGAAGGAGGAGGAGATTGGATTTATACCCTGCCCTTCACTTGGAGTCTCAGAGCAGCTTACAAACTCCTTTCCCTTCCCCTCCCCACAACAGACACCCTGTGATGTAGGTGGGTCTGAGAAAGCTCTGAGAGAACTGTCCTTGAAAGAACAGCTCAGACAGAACTATGGTCATCCAGCAGCTGCAAGTGGGGAATCAAACCCAGTTCTCCCAGATTAGAGTGTGCACACTTAACCACTACACCAAGGGGAAAGGTAGGGCTTTTGCCCAGCAAGATTGCCTATTGGAAATTTGATTGGCTGCAAAGATTTTTAAAATGGTTATTTGACAGCATCTGCCACAATCTGCCACTGGGTTAATACATCGGTAAATGAACAGTGGGGATGGCACTGGAGAAGCAGGTGAGGCAGGGCTAGGGTGGTTCAGGACAGAGCATACGTTGACTCACACCTGCCCATGAAAAAGTAATTAAGAAAAGTTGTAGGACCAGGCTTGATGTGACGTATTAGTTAACATGGCTGCTTGCTCATACATAAAGCATGGTGGCTGAATGTGTGGGGTTTTTTTTCTCTTCAAAAGAGAAAATGATGCATGCAGATGAGAGGAGCGAAACCTTGCCACTTCCCTTGCAGGGCACAATTGCTTGAGCCTTTATATCTCCTGGAAGGGAGCCGAGCTGTAAAAGTTAAATGGTTCAAACAATTGTGCGGTAAAGGCAGGCAGGGCTGCCCATGCACATAAATAAGGAGGAAAACCCACCCTACCCAGTGTGCTTTACACATGCAGTCCTGGGGTGTGCCCATCGTCATGTCTAATTTGTCACTGATTAGCCAGGAGAGATTCTAACAGCCTGCTCTAGTACTATGAGGCCCATAGTGGTGGAGCAAGATTCCTGATCCTCCTCTTTTTGAATGTCATTTGGCTATCCTTTCTGCATCATACGCACTTGTTGCAGTTAATCTATATGAAATCAGTGATCTGGAGTGTTGAATGATTTCCCCCCTTAGAGCTCCCCTTCCCAGACAACTGTTATTTTGCTCTTAACCCAGGAGGCTTTAACTAGGTTGGAAATACAAGAGTAAGATTTTTTGTGCCTTTGCATTAAACAGTCTTCTAAACCCAAATTCTCACACCAAGGTTCATTAGGGAAAATTAATTCCAGTATTCCAAGTTTGTGCAATTTGTATTTTGAAAAGGGAGTTTTAAGAGATATTAGGCAAAGGAAGGAAGGAAGGGCATAGTGAGAAAGGTTGTGGCACACCAAAGAGCCATTAAGGGAAATGTTTGGAATGTAATTCAGGATCCTGTGCATGCTAAGCGTATGCTCAGCCACTGAGGTACTGCCTGTTTGAGATAGGGAGCTACAATACAGGACACTAGAGATGCTGCAAATTTTGTTGTGAATATATTTGGTGGTTTAACCATAGAGTTTTGCCCAAATGCTAGAGCATTCCCAGTCGGTTTAGTTCATGTCTAGCAGCCACACATGTATCTTGAATTAGTTTGCATTGGGTATCCCCAAAAATGTGCATGCACAAGGATGCTACTGATTCAAATTGATTGGCAGCCATTAACATAGCTAAGGACTACTTAGATGAATACCAAAAGGTAGGATTTTATTGAATCTGGCATTTACTGATGACTGATTTATATGATTTGTGAATTATCAAATTGTCTGTTTAAACTATTGCCTGCTGAGTGGAGCAATTATGCAGCAAGGATGTGAAGGTAGCAGAAAGCAGTCAAGCTGTGTAAGAACCCACATGCGCAAAAAGCCAACTGCACTGCACTGCATGGATAGTAAGGAATACTGTAAAACAGCCTTTCAAACACCCACAAATGGATCATTGAACTATCAAACTGATCACTGAAAAAATCACATTTCTGTTTGCAACCCGGTGTCTGAGCATCCTTGTAGGACACCAGGGTAATAACATATGCTGGAAGGTTGCGTGTTTATGAAAGAATACAAAGCTTGGACTAGAACTGTGTTGAGAAAAATTTAACCCTGTGAGGCAGTTTGGAAGCAGAGTTAAATAGGATTTTAAAATTCCTACATCCTTACTGAAACAGCACTTGTAACTTCAAGGGGCATCAGCCAGGAAGCAACATCAGGGGAAGGTCTCAGCCTCTCTACCCTGTTGTTGGCCCTCCAGGGGAACTGGTTGGCCGCTGTGTGAGACAGGAGGCTGGACTAGATGGACTATTGGTCTGATGCAGCAGGGCTCTTCTTATGTTCTTATATTCTTCTACTTAACCTGAGACTGTTTTTCATTTCCTACACAGAGTTTCCACAGAACTATGTGTGACCAAGTTATATGCCAAGGCTGTAAAGGTTCTCTGTAATTACTACAGCAGCAACTGAATAGAATATACATAATTACTGTGTAAACAACCTAATTATTAGACAAGCTGAACTGGTTTGGTAAAGTTCCCTTCATTGCAGTATCATCCTCTGGCTCATATACTGCAAAGTGCCCTTGGGAAGCCAATTTAATAATGTTAAAACTAACCAGTATTCAGTTTGCCAGTGAGCTGTGATGTAGTATTCTGAGTGCTTTCCTTGCAGGGGAGAATCTCAATGCATCTTTCCAAAAGCGCCCCCCCCCCATAACTGTAACTCTGCCTTGTATTTAGGTCATGCACTACATTTTTGCAGAAGTTTTCATTCCTCTTTAGCTGTTTGGAATTGTAGGGTCTCTTAGCACAGACTGTGCTTCACTTGTATTATTAGAAGTTGGAATGCACTGCCGCTAGAAGAGCAGATAATAGATCTAGAGCTTTGCAGGGAAACTGGTATTAAGGCACATTTAAGGACAGATCGAGCAATTGGGCATTTGCTCTCCTCAAAAGAAGTAGCTGACTAGAGAATGTTATTTTCAGATACACAGCACTCTCTTGATTTGTAACAATGGGATATGGATTTGCTATACCACTCTGTTTGTGTGTGTATATGCGCATGTGCATGCACACACATGCTATTGGTGTATGGATTTGTTACACCTCTCTCTCTCTCTCTCTCTCTCTCTCTCTCTCTCTCTCTCTCTCTCTCTCTCTCTCTCTCTCTGTATATGCATGTGCATGCACACACATGCTACTGAATGGGTTAGCAGGTAAACGTTAAGATGAAAGTAATGAGATAAAACATTCAAAATGAAGCAAAACAAATAAACGGGCAGGGAGGGATCTTGCTGGCAGCAGAGTGTCTTCTGAACTAAATTTGCCTTCCTCTTCCTACTATACTATTCTAATTATGCTATACTACAGGTACTGTAAGCTTGGGTGTGTCCAGAAGCACAAGCCAAAAGGCAAGAGTAGTGTTGCCAACCTTCAGGTAGTACTTGGAGATCTTCTGGAATTACAACTGATCTCCAGACGACAGAGATCAGTTCCCCTGGCGAAAATGGCTGCTTTGGAAGGTGGACTCCATGGCATTGTCCCGCACTGAAGTCCCTCCTCGCCCCAAACCCCGCCCTCCCCCAGGCTCCACCCCCCAAAACCTCCAGGCATTTCCCATCCCAGAGCTGGCAGCCCTATGCAAGAGCCAAAGGGCTCTCAGAGGGTATAACCAGATGAGTCAGCAATTGATTCCTGGTCCACTCAAGCGATATTGTTCTTTCTGTTTGTTTTTTTGGTTTATCTGTATTGTGTTTGTTGTTGTAATTTTATTAACATTTATAGTCTGCCTTTCTCACTGGGACTCAAGGTGGTTTATACAGAGTAAGTCAATACAGTCAACAGTACTGTATATGCCCCCTTCCAGAGAAAAGTGGGATATAAATACTTAAATAAATACCTCTCACCTCAGACACGTGCAGGCCGTTATCACTCTGTGTGGCACAACTTGGCATACAGATAAGACAATGAGTAAAGCTGGCTGTGTGGTGCCAGCAAGTGGCAGAGGGAATGGCATGCAAGGCTTGCATAGGCAGGGTGAGAATTCAGCCTCAGTGTTTAACTGACAGGGATTCAGTTCAAGGTTTCCCCCCCCCCCCCCTGGGGTTAAAGAACTTTTAAGTGGTTCTCCTTTTTAGGGATCCAGGCAAACATTTTTGAGTTTTGACATAATTATACTTGGACTTCATTATAATGCCAACCCCCAAAACTTCAATAGCACATTTGGATCCTAACAGGCAAGATTCTCTAGCAGAAGTAATGCTAATCACATCCTGAGACTTCAGCTGTCAAACAGTATACACCAAAATAACTCTTTCACTGGGGTTTATTCAACGGCTTGTTAAAATGGCTGGGGGGTAGGGATGCCAGCCTTCAGGGGGGATCTGGGGATATCCCGGAATTACACTTCATCTCCAGACTACAGAGATGACTACAGCCTGGAGAAAATGGCTGCTCTTAGGGTTGCCAAATCCGATCATCGCGGGGACGGACAGGGACTTTCTGGGAGTAGGGAGGAGTGGTGAGACATGCCTACATAAATAGGAAGTGATGTATGCAGGGGTCATTTCCTGCAGGAGTGCACAGGAGCGAAGCTCCAGCAGTAAAGAGCCCAGGGGGCGGGCACATGCAACAAGCCCCACCCCCTGCTCCCAGCAGCCCTCAGTCAGAGCAGGAAACAGCCAGGTAAGCTGCAAAGCCCCCCCGCCCCCCCCCTCCGGCCCAAAACAGACCAAGTTTGATTCAGGTACAAGCTCTCCCTCCTCTGTGAGGACAGATCTGCACGTCCCCCCCCCCCGATAGCTAGCAATCCAAAACAGTCCAGTGGAGCCTGAGTGGTGGGTGTTGCCTTCTGACACACTTCCGGTGATGCCAGGGTGTGTGGCATATGCAAATAAGTTATGCTAATGAGTTATGCAAATGAGCTCCTGCACCTCTTTTTCTATGAAATGACCCCTGGATGTAGGCATGTTAGGGATGTCAGGGGTGATGCTCTGGTTTTTGAGCAAAACTCTATGGGAAAATTCATTTCCTTTTTTCATAGGCATGTCACAATGATTTCCAGGTTCCTGTTGATAAAAAGTGGTGATTTTGGGGGGAGAGGAGCACCTAAAACTGAGGGACCGCTGCCCACACTGGAGGGTCTAGCAACCCTACCTGTATTGGAGGGTGGACTCTGTAGCATAGTACCCCACTGAGGTCACTGTCCTTTTCAGGCTCCATCCCCAAATCTCCAGGAGTTTCCCAGCCTGGATCTGGCAATCCTATGCCCCCCATCACCCTCTGGTGGCCAGGGGGGACCTGGCAACCCTACTTGGGGGAGAACACTAATGAATCAGTAATGGTTAGTTTAATATTATAATGAATGCAGTACAGATAGTACCATCACTTGTCAGTAGGTTGTCCTGGCCAGAGAGAAACGTTCTGCATAGATAGCTGTATAGATAATATTCCCCTTAAATGCAGTGGCTCCCTTCAAAATTGATGCAAATATTCCAGCATGTCTTCTCAGCACCTCTGTTTTCAGCTGGGCAATGAGCTATGCTATAGCCCTAAACAGATCTGAAGAACACCTTCCTAAATCCATTGACATCCATGAATTTAGAAAGAGTGTAACTCTCTTTAGGATTGCACTGTTACATTTGGAAGCATAAGAATTAAAATCTAGGAAATTCAGTCGATGCACCTCAGTGATTTTTTTAAAGTAGCAACTCTTCAATATTTGTCCTACCTCTTCATGCTTTTTCTTCTTGAGAATATGATCTTCCCGCAGAGCTTCAATCTCCATCTCCAGATCAGTTATGATGATTGTCATATTGTCAAGTTCCTTACGGATGTTTTCAACATCATTTTGCACATTTTGACGGAGTGCTTTTTCTGTCTCATACCTTAACCAAGAGGAAAAAAGTGATTTAGGTGAACAGAGCTTAGACAGAGCCTCCCCCCACCGCACTTGAACTTTTAGGAATGCATGACTTGTGAGAGCAATCTTAAGAAGGTCTTCTCAGAAAGTAAATCTCAGGTTAGTCAAAGGGGCTTACTCCCAGGAACATACCACTGGGATTGCAGACGTAACCCCTTAGCCAGTCCATGCTTTTCTCCCTATAACCTTTATGCCTAAAACTATAATCTGGGTCCAAAAGGAAAAAAACAACAACTTGATATTCCATTTGGTCTTTTATTCTGGGACATTCCTAAGCCTCAGTAAAGTGACATTTGTAGAAAATGAACAAGTGAGTACTTGTAGTGTATTTGTAGAAAATGAACAAGTGAGTACTTTATTGATATTTGGCATGCATTGAGAACTGACCCAAAGTGATTGCTCCCTAAATTACTTTAGTGAAATGTAAAGCTCATGGGCTAAAGCAGTGATCAGGGCAGGATGACTGTTTGAGAGTATTATACTTTAAAAGTATAATATGCAGTGAACTAGTGTTTGGAATGTAGTCTATGTTGAAACAAGTGTCTGAATTACCTTGAGGTAACTGTCAACACTCGGAGATAATTGTCATTCTTAAATACGTTTGGTGTCTAGATTAACACATTTCCTTTGTGTGCACACACAATGGCAGATGACAGATGTAATGGTGCAAATATATTTGTCTGCTATAGCAGGATAATCATTGTCATCACTGGAAATTGTCTCATTATACCAGGAGGAGTAGGTGCAGGATTGGCCTAGAAACATTAAAAACTTGTAGCTCAGGTTAGAACTATTTGCATGTTTGTGAAATTGTTCTGGGAAAATCTAGCAAAACAACCTTCTGGACCTTCCCATTAGACTGCATTACAGTGACTCAGAAAGATTCTTTAGCCAAGAAGAAGAAAGATTGGATTTATACCCCAACCTTCACTTGAAGTCTCAGAGTGGTTTACAATCTCCTTTCCCTCCTTCTCCCTACAACAGACACCCTACAAGATAGGTGGGGCTGAGAGAGCTCTTTCAAGGGCTGCTCTTGAGAGAACAGCTCTGAGAAAATTTGTGACTGACCCAAGGTCACACCAGCAGCTGCACTTGGAGGAATCAAACTCAGTTCTCCCAGATTAGAGTCTGCACTCTTAACCACTACACCAAACTGGTTCGCCAGAGTACTCCATGGTCAACAGAAGGGGACCCATGGCAAAACAAATACCGCATTTACTCAATTTCCAGATCAGTTATGATGATTGTCACATTGTCAAGTTCAAGACTAGTTTTTTCCAAAGTATGCCATCAAAAATAAAAAGGGGGGTCATCTTACATTTGCATGCAAATTACAGTTGAACGATTTGCACATTTTTAGGGTAATTGTGGTACATTCAGTGTCATCTTGTTTTCAAGGAAATACAGTATTGAAGTGAGACTGAGTAAAGGGATGGGGCAAAAGCAGACAGTCTGGAAGCACTGGGGAACTCCTTGCATAGAACGTATTTTAAAAGCAATTGTCTGTAATGGATGCTTGCCATACAGACATAGCAAAAGGTAAAACTGGTAGTTTAGTGCCAGTGAATAAGAGCCAGGAGAATACCAATTTAACTTTCCAGTCTTATGCATTACAATACTACAGATTTGTCCTCTGTCTAGCTTGGTTACTAACCAGTGGTCTCCTGAACTGGGGAGCAAACCTGAGTATGGTGTAATAAATGGTTTGTGACTCAAACTTTATTTGAACCATGCTTTATCTTTATGCAATATTATTTTGGTTGTTACAGATTAAGAACCAGGTCTAGGGTTTGCCCTTTTCTCTTTCCAAGAATGAATGAGAGATCCAGGAAACAACTTACTTGATCCTGAAGTCCTCTGTTGCCATTTTAGCATTGTCAATCTGTAGAACGATGCCTGCATTGGTAACCCGTCCATTTTCAATCTGTAATTTTTATATACATAATCAATCTCATATAGGATTAATCTCTTTTACATACAGAATTAACCTCCATGTGGACACATACCTGAGGGACCGCCTTTCCCCATATATACCCCAGAGAGCACTTCGGTCAGGGTCACAGACTGATTGGCCCTTCCAGGTCCCAAGGATGCCAGGCTAGCTGTTACCAGCTTTCTCGGTGGTGACTCCATACTGGTGGAATGAGCTCCCGGAGGAGATCAGGACCCCGCAGGACCTTTTACAGTTCTGCAGGGCCTGCAAGACGGAGCTCTTCCATCAGGCTTTCAACCATCACCATCACCACCATTATCACCATCACCACCACTTCCATCACGGTCAATATTAACACCTTTGAATACCAACTTTAACAAATTATTGATAATGGAAATCTGGCGCCTGTTCACCGGCCGAGACTGAGAATGACTATCAAGCTGAATGTCTATACAGGAACTATCTTTAATACCATAAGTTACCATCTTTAATACTATAAGTTAATCGCTAGCACTTTATGTGATGTAAGTTAGTTTTAATGAACTGTCTTAGATACTTTATATTTATTGTGTTTTTGTGATGTTAGCTGCCCTGAGCCTGCCTTGGCAGGGAGGGCGGGGTGCAAATCTAAATAAATAAATAGTTTATGAGAGGGCTCTCCTGTGTGGGAAGGGCAGAAGGGTTATACATTTTGGGAGTTCAATTAAATGTGAGTAGGGCTTTTGCTTCTTAGCGTGCGCACACACACTGGATTTGAGAGTAATTCTTTTACATACTATAGCAATGGTACAAATACCATAAAATCAATTTCAAAGGTAAGTGTGAGAACCATTGGTATCTCTCTTGTGACTGCAGCATTACACATTGGCTCAAGAAGTGTCAGAGCTCTTTCTGCACAAGGGAAATGAGTACCAAATTCTTTGCTATATTAATCTTCAATTTCTGTTCTTCCAGTTAAGAGGTGCACCGGATTCTCGTCTCGTGTTTGATTTGAAGGTTGCACTTAGGGCTGCCAGCCCCCAGGTCCGGGCGGGGTTTCCCCTGCTCCTGAGGGCTTCAATCCACCCCTGGCCAGCTAGCCAGTGGAGGAAGTTCCGCCCCCAAGAGTAACCACCTGCCTGGCCACCCCTCTCCCTCCCCTCCCGCCTGATTTAAAGGCCTTCAGCTGATTGGCAGGGGCCACGTGGTCCATCGACCAGCTGGAGGGCCATTTAAATCTAGCAGGAGGGAGAAAGAGGCTGGTCACAGGCCGCATGCTTGGCTCACAAAAGGACCCTTTAAAAGGTGGCCCATGACTGCCCTTCTCCCTCCCTCCTGCTAGATTTAAAAGCCCTCCAGCTGGTACACCCCCAGAATGCCCCCCAGGAGGGGACTTGGCAACCCTAGTTGCTCTGTTGGAATTTATTATACAATCTCTTCTAACAGTGGGGCTCTTTTTATAACACCTGTTGAATTATTTAATTAATTAAAATACTTCAGTTAAAATACTTCATAAAAATTGGAGGGCTTGTGAAATGCAAATGTGGCAATTTAATTTAACTTTTAAGTAAAATGCCTCAGATTCTAGTGGTTTGTCAGATACATTTCCCGAATATCACTTGGCAGTTTACTTGGAATGGTTACAGTTTCTATTAATAAGAAGGACATAGGCAGTGTGAAGAAATATTTTTTTATTGGCCCCAGCATTCATGACAGCCATCTTGAGGCTGGCTGCTTACCCCATGGCTGCCTTTTTTTTAAATAGCACGTACTCGTTCTCACAATTCCAGAAGTGCCCATGGGCTGAACAAGGACGAGGAGGATTGCTGTCTAGACTAATAATAGATCTTCAGCCTTGTAAATTCAGTTTGTTTCTTGCTTAGCAAGAGTATCTTACTAACTAAACATTTCCTTTAGTCCTACCTCTTTATGCTCCAAAGTAATAGGTACCCTTATGGTTAAGAATTACATGGCCATGTTTTTATCAGTTAAGTTTGCTCACTCCCTGTTTACCTAAGGGGAACTGCTATCTGCTTTTAGGAGCTGTAGCTAAATAGGTACTCATCATACTAAAGAGTCTATGAGGAGTAGTGCTAACAAACTCTACTGGGGCCTGGAGTTCTCCTGGTATTACAATTAATGATGCCAGCCTCCTGGTGGGACCTGGGGGTCCCCGGGAATTACAGCTCATCTCCAGACTACAGAGATCATTCCCCCTGGAGAAAATGGATGCTTTGGATGGTGTTACTCTATGGCATTGTACCCCACTGAGATCCCTGTCCTCCCCAGGCTCCATCCCCAAATCTCCAGGAGTTTCCCAACCTGGCTCTGGTAACCCTACCTCCCCATCCTCTGCTGGTGGCCAGGCAACCCTAATTATGATAGATCTCCAGATAGGGTTGCCAGGTCTTACCTTCATCACAGCAGGGGGCTCCAAGCCAGCTTTGGGACTTTTCTGGTGTGCATGCAAAGCTCATGTGCCTTGATGGCGACACCTGGAAGTGACATCATTGCACTAGGCACATTGTTTGGGGGACACTCTAGTACTCAGGTAAAAACTCTGTGGTCACCATAGGGTTTTTACCTGAATGCTTGAGTGTCCCCCCAACAACATGCTCCACCCCCAACTCTGCCTATTGGGATGATAGACATAACGTGCCTGTTGCCTTCTTCTACACTGCTGGCCCCAGTCGTCCTGTCAGTACCTTGGCTGCTCTCATGAAGATTTGGACTTCCCCTGTTGTCTGTTATTTAATTTGACATAATGTAACACCTTCAGTGGTACCATATATTCACAGTCACAAGTTAGAATCCCCACTTGTTCCCATGTACTTGCAGAAAGAGTGAGAGAATAATCTTCCTTCCCTAGAATTGCAGTTACAATGTGTTAAGTGATTGCAAATACCCTGTTTCCCTGAAAATAAGACCTACTCCAAAAATAAGCCCTAGCAGGATTTCTATGCATTTGTGGTATAGGCCCTAGTGTGTCTTCTTGAGAAAAAATAAATATAAGACAGTGTCTTATTTTCGGGGAAACACGGTATATGATGAATTACATCAAACTTCCCCTTGGATTGGAAGAAAAGACACTTGGGTTTGGGAGGTTACTGAAGAGCGACTCTGAAAGGGTGGTTTATAAAGAGGTGATAAAAGGTCTGAGGACAGCAGCTGCAGTTTGGCTCAAGGCTAATATCTGTGTACGTGTGTATAGTTTGGGTAGGAACTTGAGTCACCTGAGTTCTGCAACTGAAACATTCCCAAGAGATGACTCTAAATCCTTTCCTCGAAGAAGAAGAAAAAAATCACAACTGGAAGGACCCATCTTTGGAATGTATTCATTATGCAATATAAGGAACAGGTACTACATTCCTGAGAAATAAGAGTACACCTCAAGTATCGCCAGAAGGTGTGAGGTGGAAGGCCCTGAAGAAATCAACTGGCTCCAAAATACACCTGACAGCTTTTTCATGTCCAAAGCATGTAATTGTTGTTGAACTGTGGAACAGGAAAAGGGCAGTAGCAGAAGCCTTGGAATGGATTATTTCTATTTTGATAGTTCCAAATTTGAAGGAGCATCCAGAATGTTGAGTTGGAACTTCTCAGAGACATAATAATGATAGATTGTGTGTATGTGTGTGTGTGGGGAACAGAGCCAGTGTAATGGAACAGTGTGTAGTTACACTGGCTCTATATGGCATTTGGAATTGTATCTCCTGGACCAAAATAGGAGGGTACACAATTGAAATACCATTTGGTTACATGAACCTGATCTGGACACAAGGCCTGTACAGTACATCCTTGCCTTGTGTCACTGATATTTCTCAGAACATAATTTTCACTTGGTCTTATTTTGATGAATATGAGTTTTGTAGTCATTGAGCCTATATGTAACATTTATGCTTGACCACTGAAGAAGGCCAGTAGGGTGAAATGCATCTGTTTTAGGGTTGCATAAGGTCCTAATTGTGCATATTGTACAATCTGAAGTCTTCTTGAGGCTATATTTGGGCCTGTAATTGTTTTTAAACCAATTTGCAATAAATTTATGTATTTTTGTATAAGTTGTATTACCTACATATTTATGTTGTATACTTACTGAGTTTAAGAAGAGAAGAAGAGATTGGATTTATACCCCACCCTTCACTACCCAAAGGTATCTCAGAGCGGCTTACAAACTCCTTTCCCTTCCCCTCCCCACAACAGACACCCTATGAGGTGGGTGGAGCTGAGAGAGCTCTTGACAGGAACTGCCCTTTTTCAAGAACAGCTCTGATCAGAGCTACGGCTTGCCCAAGGTCATCCAGCCAGGTGCAAGTGGAGGAGTGGGGAATCAAACTCGGTTCTCCCAGATTAGAGTCCGCACACTTAACCACTACACCAAACTGGCCCCCTAACATTGGGCCCCCTAATTTCTTTTCAATTAACCTTTTAGGTTCTCTGGGAAAATTTGCTTTTTGGCTCCAAATTTGGTGGTCAGCCTGATGGTGAGTGTGAACAGAACCATCATGCCAGAAAAAAAAAGTTTTATGGTGATGGCAGATGTGATAGGATGCTGCACTACAGCCTGCCTCTAATTGTCCATGATGGTTCAGAGAAAATGGAGAAAATCCACAAGCATATTTTGGTTGGGGAATGGGCCAGCCATTTGGTCAAAATGGAGGCACCAACATAGAAATCCTAATGTCCTTTGTACAAGAAAGTAATTGCTCATATAACTGTTTTGAGATCAGAAAGACCGTTTCTCATTTGGTTGTCCTTACTGGATGAGCAACTAAATGAGACTGCAAAGATAGGAAGGATTTGCAAATTGTAGATGCCTGCACTTTTCTTTCACATTCTCAAGGATCTAGATCAACATGTGAGCATGACTAAATGCAGATCTGATATCAGGTCTCGAAAGTTCAGTATGCTGAACATAATTCTAAAGAAGCAGGAAAACAAGCAGAGGTGAAGAACCAGAACAGCATGAGCACAGAGAAGGGGATTTAGGACATGCAGAGGGGGAGGTTTTGTCAGATCTTGGAAGCTAAGCAGGGTCAGCCCTGATTAGTAATTGGATGGGAGACCACCAAGGAAGTCTAGGGTCGCTACGCAGAGGCAGGCAATGGCAAACCATCTCTTTTCATCTCTTGCCTGAAAACTTGATAGGGTCACCGTAAGTCAGTTGAGACCTGACAGTACTCGCTGCCACCACCGGAGAGGGAGGACTGTCTATTTAAGTGAAGGAGCAAAGGGAATCTTTGGTAAAGTCAGCTTTTGAACATACACATGAGCACATGAATCTGCCTTATACTGAGTGAAGCCTTTGGCTTGTCAGTATTCTGTCCTCTCACTGGCTGTGGCTCTCCAGGGTCTTTAAACATAGGTGCTTGGAACTGAACCAGGACCTTTTGTTTGCAAAGCAGATTGTCTGTAAGTGAGCCATGGCTTCACCCCACCAGGAAGGTGTTCAGGATCACTTAGGGATGAACCAGCCCAGTAAGGAGAAGGACACAGCCAAGCCAATGCCAGCATGTAATCATCTTCTTCATGGAGTACTAATGGTTTTCTTGACTTCCTGAGAGAACTATGGGAGGAGAACTAAAAGCACTCAGATCCCAAATTTATTACACTCTGGGTGTCAGGTGCACTAGTTCCTTGGGCCAAGAAAAGGGCTTTTCCATCTGCCAGAAACCTGTTCAGGCAAACAGAGCCATGCATGGTCAAAATTTCAAGCAGTTTTAGATCAGAGCAAAGACAGATGAGAACTGTGCAGGGAGAGGGGCGGGGAAGGGAGTAGTGGCATGGCCAGATGTACTGACTGTGGTCTCCAAACCTGGGAGAATCCTCAAAACTGAACAAAAAAACTGCTTCTTGGGTCCTTCCTGTTGGCCCTGTGGAGCAGGCTTCTTTCCCCAGACCTAAAGCACACTGGCTGTAATCTCAGAGGGTCCGTTACCATGGGGAAGAGTTACCTAGATGTGTGTTAAACCCCTGGGAGGAGGTGCCACTAAATGCAACCTTGCAGAGCCCTTTGTGAAAATCCTTCAGGATAACAGGAAGCACAAATTGTCTGCATCCAGAACCAGAAATGTTCCTTCTAAACTAAATCACAGCTCTGTAAGAATCTTGACTTCTTGCCTTATATGCCAGTGCAAAATTAAAAGGTATCCATCTGATTAGTCACAAGGATTAACACCAGTTAAATATGTTTTATTATGAGTCCAGATTAACATCACAGCCGAGCACGGAAAATTGTGAGTTTAAAAGGCAACATCATTGAACGGTAATATAAAATTCTTAGTAGGAGGCAGAAATTCTTTTCAAAACTGTTATTATAGTGAAATTACAAGGACTGGTGTTTTTAGCATTGGTTTAATTATTAAGAGCAGAATGGCCTGCTTTCCTGAAGTGCTCCCAAATATGCTCTAGAAGTTCCTTCCTCCTGCATCACATAAAGGCATGGAAGATGGACCCACAAAGGGAAACTTCAAAAATAGTTCTGTTTGGGTTGGTATTTATAGCCTCTGGTTAACAGCTTTTCAATATCTTGCATCTATTCAATGGCTATTTAAGTCCCACGTATACATGCATGTGGAAATATTTAATTAAAATGCCCCATCTATTCAGCTTGCTTGAGGGTTAGTCAATTAAGTGAATATAGCAGGAGTATAGGATCCACCCCAAGGATCCTCTGGAGCTCTTACACTTTGCACCTGCCACTGTGTCAACAATTATCCTTTTTAAAAATACATATAAACAGTAGGCATAATTTGAGCTTCAGCATATAGAAAACAACATGCTATGCTTAAAACTCAAAAGTTTTTAATGCAAATTTAAAATGTTAGTAATTTAAATCAGACATGAATTTCATTTCAGTTTTTTTTTCTTTTTTTTAAAAAAACTCTAGTTATAGAGATGCTTGGGAAAAAGTAAACTAAAACTTTATCAGGTTAAGAGAAAGTTTAGACAGTAGACTTCAGCATTAACTTGCCATTTTGCAATCCAAATGTTTAAAATTGCACTGCAGTTGGGATGTTGTAAACATCCATTTAGAAAAATATAACTTTCCCCCACACAAAATTGCTTTTAGAAGAATTAACCTGAATGTATGTTCTTCTTAAAGGTTTGCATACCCTTACCCTCACTCTCTCTGTTCTAACCTTCGTACTCCCACCCTTTCTTGAGGACATTTCTTCTGCATGACTTCAGTATCCACTTGGATACTCGGATACTCAGTGCAGCTATACCGGCTGATTGAGTGATTTACAGTTTGTATATCTGACTTACCTGATCATGCATGTCTACAATGTTTTGTTCATATTCCTTAAAGTCAAACTGGTTGCCACGGGTTCTCTTGTCATGCCACTCTCGGATGCAGCCTTCCAGCTGAGTGTTGGCCTCCTCCAGAGAACGCACCCTTTCCAGGTAGGTCGCCAGGCGGTCATTCAGCTCCTGCATTGTCTGCTTCTCGCTTCTTTCCAGGAAGATGTTCGAAGGTTTCTCACAAGAGCTTGCCCACCCTGTCCCTGCATCACAGTTCACCCAGACTGGTCTTCCAATGGCAATGGGAATATAAGCAGTGTTGCCTCCATGCATGCTGGAAGGCCTGCAGGAAGCTCCTGCATGGGCAAAGCCACATCCTCCAGCACCCCTGAGAGACCCACAAGAAAAATGGCACAGGCCTTTGATGGAGTTCATGCTGTCATCAGCTCGAAACTGAAGGTAAACACTCAACACGCTCTCTTGACTGCCGGCACAGTCTGACAAGTGCCTCAACCTTCCCTGAGCTCTTTTAAGCCTTTCCCCGTGGGAGTTTCCTTATGTTAAATAACTATGCCAACAAGATTGTGTCATCATCACCAAATATGCGTTTCCTCTTGGTCAATTCTGAAACCCTTATTAGCTGGCAAATACAGTAGTCATTAGGAAGAACAACAACATACCAAGGTTTTTGTCCTTCCTCTCCCTCTCTCTCTCCCCTCCCCACTCCCCTTGTTGATTTTTGCAGCATATCAACGAGGCGTGGCCCCCAAAGAGAGGGTGGAGCTGAGCTGAAACAGCTCAAAGACTCTGCTTCAAGTTTCTTCTCGGTCTCATGGCTCATCTGTGTTATGTTTCACTGTTTGCGGTGGTGAGAAAAGCTGCTTGAATTACACACAGTGCTAACTGCCAAAAAACGGTTAGGCTTCCTGCATTTCACTGTAACCAAGGAGTACTTTGTGTTCATTTTCTGAAAATCCATGTTATGATGTCTCATAACATTTCAATAATGTGCAACTCTCCCATCGACTTATGGTTGTCTCAAGCTGTCTTTTGAAATCATTTGAGAATACAAGTAAAAAAAATCTGTAGCCAATTTCAGGAGTTCTGCATTGATTGCTGCCTTGTAATTGTACGCCTGCCAATATCATGGAACATTTTAGTGATAGTTTGGTAGATGCGGTTCAGAATAGCAGCGATACCTATCATCACAGTATCTAATACTCAATGACCCAGTGCCTATCAATACAGCAATGAATTGAGGCCACCCTAAAGAGATGGTAAGGTTGGAGGACTACCAGATATACTGAAAAATAATAGTTGGCAAACTAAAAAAGAGAAGACACCCCCACTCCTTCCCCAATGTCCTGATGAGGTTCAAATGTTCTTCAATAGGCATAGAATGTTGAAGTCAGCTGAATGTCAGTGGAAAGGGTGGAGGGAAACGTGGAGACGAGACGAGAGGGAATTTGTCTGATCATGCACATTAGGGTTTATAGTATCCTGAGGAGGAATATAAAGCCTACCTCCCCACTCCCTGGTAAGAAATCTAGTGATGTGTACATGAATAAAGATATCAGGTACCATGCAAGTGACCTGAAGAATGGTGAGAGGTCCGGAGACCAAGTCCTATGAGGAATGGTTAAAGGAGCTGGGTATGTTTAACCAGGAGAATAACCATCTTCAAGTACTTAAAGGGCTGTCATATTGTTTTCTGTTGCCCCAGAAAGTTGGACCAGAACCAGAGGGTTGAAATTAAAAGAGTTTTTGGCTAAACACTAGGAAGAACTTCCTGACAGTTAAAACGGTTCCTCAGTGGAACAGGCTTCCTCAGGAGGTGGTGGGCTCTCCTTCTTTGGAGGTTTTTAAACAGAGGCTAGCTGGCCATCTGACAGCAATGCTGATTCTGAGAACTCAGGCAGATGAGAAGAGAGGGCAGGAAAGGTTGCCTCATTGCTTAGTTCTCGTGACCCTTTCCTGTACGCCCTGGGAAATACTGATTGCCACTTTGAGGTCAGGAAGCAATTTTTTCAGGCCAGTTTGGCTGGGGGTCCTGTAGGAGCTTTTTTTGTCATCTTCTGGGCATGGGACAGGAGTCATTGTGGGTAGGGTTGCCAAGTGAGAACTCAGCTGCAGTGGGGGACTCCCGGCTGGTGGCTGGAGCGTGCGCGCCAGATCCACATCGCCCAGACGTTTTCATAGAGTTTTCCCTCGGATGACCGTGGCCCTGCCCCCAGCGTGCCTGGAGTGCCCGCGTCACTTCCGGGCGACGTGCATGTCGGGGTGGAGTTCCCCCTGGGGCCCGATCCACCGGCGGCGGGGAACGGGCCTCTGGGGCGGGGGTTTCCCCGCCCCCCAGGGGGACTTGGCAAGCCTAATTGTGGGTGTGCGGGGAGGTAGTTGTGATTTTTCTGCTCAGCTCTGCAATAACTGTTCCTCATGTATAACCGTTCCTCATGAACAAACTGAATAACTGTTCCTCATGAACAAAAGGGAAGTGGGATCCAGACTAGCCATGCCTGCAAGGCAAGGTAAAGCTCTATGTTGGGTAGTACTATTGTGTTGCCCTCCCCTGCAGTACCTGGCACTCACCCCTAGATGGAGTAGTCAGTTGCCCTTGGCGGAGTTCCTGCTGCAGGATTCACTGGAGTGCTGTGCCAAGACCACCCAGGTGCCCCCTAAGAGTTCCTAGTAGAGTTGCCAACTCTAGTTTGGGAAATTCCTGGAGATTTAGCAGTGCAGCCTAGAGATGGAGGAGTTTTGGGGAAAGGAGAGACCTCAGTGGGATATAATGCCATAGAGTCCTCCCTCCAAAACAGCCGTTTTCTCTAGAGGAGATGACCTCTGTAGTTTGGATATCAGTTGTAATTCCAGGAGATCTCCAGGCCCCACCTGCAGGTTGACAACCCTAGTGCCCAGCCTCCTAGTGATCATTAATTATTTTTATATGTGTAAAGAAACTTGCATATTTTATCCTGTCCACTTTCAAAACAGCATACCCAGGCTGGTCACTAGAAGCTGGTTTGGAGGGCATGAAATTACTGATGCATTGCTGTAGCTATCACACTTTGTAACATCTTGAGCACACATTCTCTGAATTCCCTCAGTTACATAATTGTGGTGCCGTATAATGTTGGCACAGAAGGTCTCCATGTAATTGGGGGAGATCCATGTGATGAGCAGCTTCAGATGTCACAACCAAGTCAAGGGTCAGCAGAAACACAGAGGCTATTTTCAGTGTCCTCCACATGGAAAGTCTAAATGTAGAGTAGGGCTCCCCAACATGGAACCTTTGGGCGCCGTGGTACCATCCATACCTTTCCTGACACCCATGAAGTGTTTTTAGAAGGTGGGTGAAGCCAAGTAGGGCTTTTGCTCTGCAAGGCTTCTGATTGACCATTGGAGATTTGATTGTCTGTGTACATTATTTCAAATGTTGCTTTGGCAGCAGCTGCCACTACAGCACAAAGAGCTACACTGTGTGACTGAAGGTAATCTGTGACAATCAGTTTATGGCTGGCTCTGCCTCCTGCGGTGGCCATTTTGTGACAGCCATTTTGTGGCTGTGCCCACCACGCTATGTCAGAATTGCAAAGGTGCCTGCAAGTTCAAAAAGGTTGGAGACCCCTGGTGGGGAGAAAGAGAGAGAGAGCGCCAGCCACTCACTTTCTTCTAAGCTGTGGAACTTAGCAATCAGTTGGTTTGCTCAACCCTTTTTTGCTTTGTGTGCGTGTGTGTGTGTGTGAGAGAGAGTGTGTGTGCGTGCATGCATATGTGGACATACTGGACATTCATTTTGCCTAATCAATACAATCTGTGCATTCCCTAAGTGGAGTCTATACTAGTTTTGCACAGAGTTTCAGAATTCAAGTGCGAGTTTTTACATTTTGAGCATTCTCAAATTGTGCTTTGGGAATCCAACTTGGAAGGACACTTTAAAAAAGAAAATTTAAATGTTGTGTTGTGTTGATGAATTGTAAGACTGTGAAGCATTGTGCATAGGCAGACCTGCAGCCAGGGGGCCCTTGGGGCAATGCCCCCTCCCAAATGTGCCCTGCCCCCCCAGAAGGTGGAGGGAGCCTGGTGTGACCTGTGATGACCATGCCAAAAGGAAACTGGCGGCTGCCAAAGCCTCCCTCATAGGGATGCTTGGAGGCTTAGCACCATCAGTTGGAGGTCAGGCACCACGCCTCCGCCGCCGCCCTGACAAACCAATGCCGGGAAGGCAGAAAAGAAAAACAGAGGTTGCAAGTCCCTAACCTGAGGCAGCTGCAGCCAGCCAAGATCCCCGAGGAGCGCAGACCAAAACAGAACTTGGGAAGGGGAAAAGAGCGAAAGAGAGAGACAGAGCCTCCACCTGCAATTGTGAACTCTGAGAACCAGAAGCCAAATTGGAGAGCAGAGGAGGCAGCAAGCATGACGCTCACCTGCCTGTGGCATGGCTGGCTCACCTTCCTCCCTTGCCTGCCGGCTGCCCCATCATCGTCTCCCTCCTGCTGCCCCAACTCCTCTGGAGTGAGTTGCTCACTTAGGGTTTGTTAGGTGTGTGCGTCTTCTTTTTTTAACAGGGATGCTGCTGCAGTAACCCGGCAGTGGTGGCCAGAGCTATGGCAAGCAGAATAGCTGGCCCGCTAGTTGGGAGGCAGCCCCGCCCAGCAGCATGCTCCAGCCCCCCTGCTGCATAGGCTGAGGCAGGGAGAGATGCAAGGGCCCTGCTAAATAGACCCCAGGGCACCACTTGACCCTCCTTGCTTGACCCAAGGGTGCACAGCTACTATGTGACCCCGCCCAAATTGTGCCCCCCACTGCCTCCTCACCGAAAATTTTCTGGCTGCGGGGCTGTGTTGCCAGCTCTGGGTTGGGAAATACCTGGATATTGGGGGGTGTGGAGCCTGGGGGGGGGGGTTGGGGGGGGGGGCCTTTTCACTTTCAGTCTTTTCCCCCAAGGGGACTTTGGTAATCTGGAGATCGATTGTAATAGTTGGCGATCTAGTTGTGTGGCACCTTGCTCCGTACAATATTTTTGTTCTTTAAAAACATCCAGCTGGATCTTTAATTTGGAATGGGGTGGAGGAGTTAATAATTTTTAAGTTAAAACTGAATTGGGAGAATTTGCTTGGGGTTCCAGCCATTCCCTCATTCATCTTTCGCAATCTCTCTGACTGACTGTAGGTGGCCTGTTAGAAATACTTTTAGTATCACCAAGTAAACCTGCTTAGGGAAGAGTTTTGCTGACTGCCCAGTGACTCTAGAACTTCTTTCCCAAGGGATTCGCCAAAGTCTGAGGCGGAAATGTTTCAAAAGCATCATAATGTGTTGTTGCTTTTTTCTATTAGGACCTCCACTGGGAGATGAGGGAAGACGGCCAGTTTGCCAGGCTCCAGCAAACCATCTGACCTAGATCTTCCCCATCCTCATCCTTTTTGGATGCTGTTTATAGTTGCAAAGCAATACAGTGAAGGCCCTTCTGTACATGCCCAGAGATGCTGTCTCCTGTGGCCTGGGTGTTGGAAGAGAGTTTGGTGAAAA